CACACTTTAGGGTCTTGAGTGTATTATAAGAGTGTTGGGAAGATTCAACTATTTCATTAAGTTGTGATATGTTTGGGTTGGCATTCAGATCCAAACCTCCCTCCATATCTTCTGTGTGCCAGTTAGTATATTTCTTTTTTGCTTTAGTTTTGAACATATATATAAACATTTAATTAGTAGTGAATTCTAATTCAAGAAGTACATTTACTGTCCATTGGAATTCATTTGTTATTATTGATAATAATATGTTATCAAGGTTGAGATTATTTCTACAGAGTTTTTGGCTTAAGTCGATGGTAGGTTCATGATGTAATAGAACTCTATTAACAAGCTCTATTTTATACATTTTCACACATATGTCTATTTGTTTGCCCTAATAATTTAGTGAAATATATATATAATGAAGTGTTGGCTCAGGGTATAGGATTTCCATGAATAATTTCAACATGTGAGGTGTTATTAACACACATATGTCTATTTGTTTGCCCTAATAATTTAGTGAAATATATATATAATGAAGTGTTGGCTCAGGGTATAGGATTTCCATGAATAATTTCAACATGTGAGGTGTTATTAACACACATATGTCTGTTTGTTTGCCCTAATAATTTAGTGAATCAGCATCATGCAATGTTGCCTCAGGGTATAGGATTTCCATGAATAATTCCATGTGGGGTGTTATTAACACACATATGTCTATAATTCTACATTCATGTAAATGTTACAAGTAAACTTGGGACTACTGTCATATGATCAGGATTTTTTTCCATATCCATGTGGAAATACATATGCATTTCTAACAGAAGAAAAGTTAATACCCAGTTTAAGTGTACCTTGCAAGTTACACACTAGGTTACAAAAATATTTAAAATAGCTGTGAAACAGAAACCAATGTCAGTTAATTTTCATCTGGTCACAGTGTTGTTTACACTAGAATATACAAACAAACATGAAACTGTTTAATATTCTGTAAGCATGATATTGTGTAAAAAAGTGTTCTTTGTGGAATGTTTTAAACATTAAAAAATTATTTTCTGTAAATATGTCTGTTTTATAAATTATTTGTATTTGTAACATGATTTTATAGCAGAGGGCATGCTTATAAGATTTCCACTTAACTTTGAAAGCTATAGATTACTTTTTAGGTGTTCTTTCATAACATACTTAACTTTTCTATCCCACAGAAAATAAAAACAGTTCTGCCATATTCACTTTTTAGACATCATTGTTTCCACCACCTAAATATGGCTCACTTTGTGGTATCTGTAGCAAGCTCTTCAAACACCCTAATATATTCATATAAAGTCGAAACAAATGATTGTCTTCCAATAAAGAAGAAAGTTTTGAACTTCCAGTTTAATTTCTCAATAGTTTGTGTTTACTGTTAACATAAATATGGCTCACTTTGTGGTATCTGTAGCAAGGTCTTCAAACACCCTAATATATTCATATAAAGTCGAAACAAATGATTGTCTTCCAATAAAGAAGAAAGTTTTGAACTTCCAGTTTAATTTCTCAATCGTTTGTGTTTACTGTTAACATAAATTGATTTTTATTTCATTCTGTGATTTTAAAGACATCTGAAAAGTAATGGCATGGAAAAGCAGCAGAGGCAATGTTTTTTATTAAAATAGATCAACAAGGTATGGTTTAAGAACAACAGAAAACAGTTTGGTGAACTTTTTTGTGATACTTTGAAAGGCTGCAAAGTATAAAAATTATGATATGAATTAATATTACATTTTCAATCAATACCAGAATAGAGATAACCTCTAACTTTTAAGGATTCAATAATAGTAGTATTGAGAAGAATGGAGAACGTGCTAACAATCAGCACATAAAAGAACCTTTTTTTAAGTATTGATTTTTTTGTTATTGTTGCTGTATCTATAAAGGTTTAGATAAAGTGAAAGAAATGGATTTCATGTGTTTGAATTTTATATTTTTAAAATCCTATTTGTTCTTCATTTGAAAATGTAAAGTTTTCCTGTTGGAAATGGAATATTTTTTCACAATTGTCCCCATAAATAGAAAGAAATCAGCGATGCGTTACTGTTGCTTTTTTAGAATAACTTTAATTTTAGAGAAAGGTTACTTAATATGTGTTTTTTAAAGTAAATAAAAGGAATTCAACTGGTTTGTTTCTCTTTGTTTGTTAATGTAGATACCATTTGTTTTGCCATCAAGTTTATAATGTATTTTATTATTTATCCGTTTGTTTTTCATTCTGTCAGTGCTTATGTGATTTTGTGATATTACAAAATTTTACTACTGCTACTGTATTCTTTAGTTTATTTTAGCCACATTAGATTGTAAATACATAGTAGAAAAATTATTCTTGTTCTGCACTCATGGCCCAAAAGTGCAGAGTGATATTTTGCGACAAAGGAAACTAACCACGCACCCTTGGATTCACAGTCCACGATGTTAGCAACTGGGCCATGTCTGACCTTCTTTGAAAGAAAGTAATCTTAAAGTGTAAAAAAAGCTTTGTATACATATTTAAATGAATTAATGAAATCAGAGTATAAACATTCATGTGTACGTACCGAAAACCCAAGAAAGAAAATTACACACAAAAATTTTACAGTTTTCAATAATCAAAATGTAGCTTTGTATACATATTTAAATGAATTAATGAAATCAGAGTATAAACATTCATGTGTACGTACCGATAACCCAAGAAAGAAAATTACACACAAAAATTTTACAGTTTTCAATAATCAAAATGTAGACGACGAACAACAGATAATATAAAAAGTAATCATGAAATGAAATATTTTGATCCTAATATTTACTTGTATTATCTTTATCAAAGAATAGTTACATCATACTAACAAAGCCTTAACTAATTTCTAGGCTATGGATTTATGATGAGGAAACTGAAGATGAATATGGTTGATAAAACATGTTATTTACAAGGTTTCAGATTTCGCTGAAGATGGAATAAGTTATTCTGAAACGTTCAAACCTTGTAAATAACATGTTTTATCAACATCTTCATAATTAAATTTCTAGGCTATATTGATATGATGAAACTATCCCTTGATAAACCTGATAGACTTTTGGTGATTAGTCATATTTATCACAACTTTTACGGTGTTTGATCTAAGCTCAGACCATCTATTCTAGCAGTACAAAGATTTATGTCTTTCTAAGCAAATTTTTATTGAAATATGTAATAAAATGTACATCTTATATTCATAATGTACCATTTCATGGTGTTAATTTTCTACATTTCGTACAAATATCTTATGATCTATCCTTCGGTGTCGTGATAGACTTTCTGGGTGAGTGTAGATCCTGCCACACAAGCTACAAATCCATGTTCTCCTCTCCCAGTGCTTAAACCGTTGGTGTCTGTTCAAGGCATAAGATGAAGTAAACCTGGCTTCACATATTATACACTGGAATCTCTTGGCTGAAAAAGAAAAAAACTACTTTTTGATGGAAATATTATATGAGTGACAGTTAATTCCCATTATTTTATTAGGGTATTATATGAGTGACAGTTAATTCCCATTATTTTATTAGGGTATTATATGAGTGACAGTTAATTCCCATTATTTTATTAGGGTAGTTCAAGAGTGGTTGACTAGCTGTCTTCTCTCTAGTCTATCAGTTTTAAGATTATGACTAGCTGTCGTAGCCCTTGTGTAGCTTTGCAAACTGTCCAAAAGGAAAAAACCAAACAATTCTTATAAATGTAGAGTTAAGACAGCTAGAATCTCAAAATCAGCATTTGCTATTATTTAGTACTACTAATTGGAAAATCTATCTACTGTAGTTTTGAGATTTTGTTTTTTTTAAACAAACTATCAGTATGAAACTAGTTTTCATTTCCTTGTCATAATTAATGTATTGATATATTGCTTTTTTTAAAAAACTAGTTACAGAATATCTTAAATATTGTGGCCAAATGTTAGAGAATTGTGTTGGAAATAATACAATTACAGCTTTTTAAAGATTTCCTGAAGATGTTTAGCATAGCATGACATGAGTTGTCATATTATGGGTTGATGTAGCATGGTGAACACTATGATATAGTGTTAAACATATATTAAAGGGAAGCCAGAAGACACCCACTTTATATTTTTTTTATGGCCGTCTTCTCTACTTCCATTAAATGTTACATACTGTTAAAGGGAAGCCAGAAGACACCCACTTTATTTTTTTTTTTATGGCCGTCTTCTCTACTTCCATTAAATGTTACACACTGTTTTCCTACCAGAATACAGCATTCCGATTGAAAATATTATCGAATTGATTTATTACTGTTTATTGGACTACATTATGTGCTGTGATGATGTTTTTTTATTAATATTTTCACTGCTTTTGAATTAAAATTTTGTGCTGCACAGATTATCATTATGAATTATAACAATAAACAAATACTTAAATTTATTCAACGATACTAGTTTATTTTCATGTTGTGAACTCTTTCAGAATAAAATAAAAATAATGAAAGATTTTTGTAAGAATCAGAACCAGAATTTTTGTTAGCTTATTTTTTTACTGTTTTAAAATTTATTTTACATTGGAATTTCTGTATTGACTTATAAGTCTGTACTATATGTACACGTTTTGTATTGTGTTAAAATAAACCATACTTGTATACTTTAAGTAGTTGGATCTTTTCTTTCAGTTTTATAGAAACTGTAATGCATATTAATGTTGTGTTATGATCACACTACTGGTAATTGTTTCAAGTGTGTTAAACCTTTGTTAAAATACTTTAACTTTATGACTTTTCAGAAAATAGATTGAAGACTAATAAAATGTTAATACTTCTAGGAGGCAAGTTTATTTGTCATCTTTGTAATGAAGAATTTGCATGGGCTTCAGGACTGAACAGACACAGAAGGACAGTTCATGGAAAGAAACAAGTCTTCCACTGTTCATTATGTGGAAAAGTTTATCATCATCCAGAAAGTTACTCTAAACACAGACGAACAGTACACCAAATATTTGGGCACCATCTTCGTACTAGTTATTTATAAATTACTGGATGTATATTAAAGTCCGTAAAATAACTCATAGCTCTATTAGTGTTTGTGATAAACATATTGATATAAGTCCATATTTAAGTCCAATGAATAAATTTTTATTAGACATTTTGTGGTTATGTTTCTAAGAAACTACTAGTGAGGGATGAACAAATTAAGATCTTTGTAATTTTGAAACATTAATAAAGTGTGTGGAGTCAAAGCATGTTTCAGGCATTCTTTTACATAGCTATTTGTGGTTTACATTATGTTAGTTAAAAAAACAAGTTATATATCACAAAAGTGGTAACTGTTGGCATGAAAACATTCACGACAAGATTCTCTATTTCTGATACATTAATATCTAAGTAATATAGCATTGAAGATTAATAGAAAAATAATAGTTTGGTATTAGAATTGAGCAAAATATGGAAGTCATACAAGTTTTTTTTAACTGATAAAACCTTGTTTGAATTTTAGAAACATAGTTTTTTCTAATATTTAATTAAAATCTGTAAAAATTAGGTTTATTTTAAGGTAATGCATGGGCATGGAAATACTTTATAGGCAATGTTGTTTTTTAATGTATTGGTAAAATGAATAAATAGAGATATAGGAAATGTGTTGTTTTATGGCACTTTTTATTGTATAACTAAAACCTTAAATTATGTTTTAATGTCTGTACCTGTATGATGGAGCAACAAGTACATATTTTAAAATGACACTCAGATTTATGTGGATGTTACACTGTAGGAAACACATTACCAGTAGTTTCAGGTATTTAAATTATGTTTTAATGTCTGTACGTGTATGATGGAGCAACAAGTACATATTTTAAAATGACACTCAGATTTATGTGGATGTTACACTGTAGGAAACACATTACTAGTAGTTTCAGGTATTTAAATTATGTTTTAATGTCTGTACATGTATGATGGAGCAACAAGTACATATTTTAAAATTACACAGATTTATGTGGATGTTACACTGTAGGAAACACATTACTATTAGTTTCAGGTATTTAAATTATGTTTTAATGTCTGTACCGGTATGATGGAGCAACAAGTACATATTTTAAAATGACACAGATTTATGTGGATGTTACACTGTAGGAAACACACTACCAGTAGTTTCAGGTATTTAAATTATGTTTTAATGTCTGTACCTGTATGATGGGGCAACAAGTACATATTTTAAAATGACAC